CTTTTTACATATTTTACTCTCAAATTCTTTAAATCTGTACTCTTTCTCTTGTATTAATCGCATTTACGAGTTAAAATACATACATTTAATGCGTTATAGCGAAGAGTGTATACATCATTTTGGGACACCCTATATATATATATATATATATATATATATATAAATTTCCCAGAGGAATTCTGTGGATAAGACAAATTGGTAGAAGAAAAATGACAATAAGAAAACATCTTAGTTTTTGCCTACGCGTTTCGTCTTCCGACATTATCAAGGCAAAATTGAAACTGAATGTTTTGTTTTCATAGTTACATTTTTAACAATTTGTCTTATCCACAGAACTGCTCTGGGTATTTTATTATATTTTCGACATAAAAAAAAACTCTTAGTATAAAGTAAGTTAACATATACCAGAAAGAGGCTTACGCAAAAGCGATTCTTTTTAAATTTTCGATTTAATGTATACACTCTTCGCTATAATGTAACTATGAAAACAAAAACATTTCTCTTCAATTTTGTCTTGATAAAGTCGGAAGATGGCAAAATAATGCATATATATATATATATATATATATATAATATATATATATATATATATATATATATATATATATATATATATATATATATTCTTTGAACACTGTGAAAACGAAAACAGTTTCTAACATTTTCAATATAATTATTATTTTACCCTGTCTAACCTATGCATACTCTGAATTTAAAAATGAATATACTTATAATTATGTAACTGACATAAATAAACAAAAATTATTTTTATTACCACTCATGGTAACAATCAAAAGGAAAAGAATGAAAAACTTGCTAGCTAACCGGTTTTTCAAACCTCGTTCAACAGAGCTAAATCGAGGTTAGCAAAGGTATTATTATCAATAAGAAGATGGACAATATGTAGGAAAATAAATTCTTCTATGGAAATTATTTGGAAGCCCTTCTTATAATATTCTTCTCTTTACATAATGAAAGTTGGCCTCCAATATTTTCAATTGCAGTTTTAATACTTGCATAAAAAGTATAAAGATTTCCCTTCTGGTCAGGTTACGTTATAATTATTTTAACTATAAATAACGAGACCTGAGAGAAGGGTTAATCTTAAGTTGGTAAGATAGTGAGATTTCATCATATATATATATATATATATATATATATATATATATATATATATGTGTGTGTGTGTGTGTGTGTGTGTGTGTGTGTGTGTGTGTGTGTGTTTGTGTGCGTGTGTGTTTATGTCTGTGTGTGTGAAAATATATAGAACATAGGAAAGAACTCGTTAGTTAAATAATCTAAAGTTGTTTAGTATTTTTGTTATTATTTTTAAAAAACAGTGCTCGATACAAAAGTAAAGCCTAAATATAATTATTTATTTAAAATATGATTCCAAAGAGTTCTCATGTTTCAAAACAAGAGCCAAATACATGAATATAATTATTTGAATTAAATTGAATTAAAGTACCAAGCTCTGTTCCATCTCCATCGAAATTTTTTTGTGGGAATAACTAATTCTTGAAATTTACGCGTTTTATAAACTTATTCATTTTAAAATTAAAATTACAATGGTAATATATATATATATATATATATATATATATATATATATATATATATATATATATATATATAAGTTCAAACTGTGATCAATATCCAATGGCGACAGATTGTTTCTTGCCTAAATGCAATTTTTATGGTTTGAACGTTGCATTTGTTCCAGCTAGATTTTGATCTCAGTGGCCTTTTTTTTTTTTTACATTACATAAGCTCTAACGCTGATATTGAGCAATTTAATCCATAAACACAGCCTAACTTTAAAGTATCTTTTTTCATATATATATATATATATATATATATATATATATATATATATATATATATATATATATATATACCGTTGTGGAAATTAATTGAAACAACACGAATAATGCCGTTATTAACATTTATGATAACAATTAAATAGGGAAAAAATGGAAAAGGACCTAGGTTTCGAACCCCGTTCAACAGAGCTAAATGATATGTAGGGAAAAAAATATTCAATGGAAATTATTGGGAAGCCCAGGATACTATTCTTCGGTTTGCATAATGAAGGTTTAAAGGAATAAATATATGTTCAATTAATAACATATTTTCTTCTCAGAGCAAAATTAAAAAGAAAGAATAGGAAAGCGTTGGATTAAGGTGTATATACTGAAGTAATTGTTTTCACACGTACCTGTGTGAGAATTTTCTATGACTTATATTTGTGAAGCGTTTTTAATCTGTTGGTTTGGTGGAATCATTAGATACGACTGCATTTAGTCAGTTAAGCATAAGACATTGAATTCTGAGTACTATTCTCAGGTGTGTTCAATGCGACACGAGGTTCGCTGGGGAATAAAACATCAGGTGTGTATCGAAAACAGAAATGAGGATAAGATATTGAGACACTTTTATATTCTGATTCATCCATCAATAGCTCGTTAGTAGAAGTTCTTTGGCAGACAAATGGGATAACAACATGACTAACAATTTTGAGAGATAATGTTTTATGTTGTTATAAAATCATTTTTTTTTACTGAGGAAGTTTGTATCATGGTTTTATTTAAAATATTCATATTTTATTTAAACACTATTAAAATTTACTCGTATTTCCAGCATATTAATTTTAATTTAATAAATACCATGCGATAATGTCAAAAAGAACGAAAGAACAATTAGATGATTTAGAAAAAAAGATCATCCTAAGAAATGAAATAAATCGCTAAGACGCAAGGGGTTACTGAGTGTGAAAGTGTGGTAGGTAACGCAACTACTCAACTGATGATAGCAGGTAGGAACAAAGAAAACCGGTGTCGCACGTCCAACCTTCTCACGAGCCGAAAGCTCTCTGATTCGAAACAGCAAAACGAGCCTGCTTTATACAGCCGCGGACCGACCACGATTTGCATGCGAATGACGAGACAACGAGATTTCGCGTTAACTAACCGATACCGCCCGGCATAAACTATGGGCGCCGCCATTTTGGTTTCTTTTGCCGTTGGAAGGACCAGAGTTTGCATACTGCGCAGATTCGAACGCGTTTCCGAGGTAAGCCGTTTTCACAATTTTCCCCACAGAAAGTATATGAGAATTGCATTTTATTTTTTTAAATCAAAGTTAACTGGAAAGCAAGAGAGTTCCACAAAGGAGAAGGTAGTAGAAATAGTTAGCATAGGCCTTACGGTTACATCTAGCCATATCAAATGTAAAATGATGAGACCTTGCTGCCAATCTAGTACTGCGCTTAAATTTTTAAAATATAATATGATGATGTAGAAAAGTATGACCAGTTTCTTCGTTGAAGATGATTTCACTGTAAGCCAAGAAAGGCTGTGAAAAAGACAATGGATTCCCAGCAACACACGCATACACACGACACAGCAGAAAGAAAAAATCAACAGAAAAAGAAACATCATATTATTCGGCCCTATTCAACAATAAAAAACTTACAAATAAACGTAGGAAAAATATTCATTATTCTCATACACAAACCCCCAACATCAAGCATTCTACATATAATATTTGACAAAGCACACTAGAAATCAGCTACAGTTGCACTGAGAACATGGCAAGAGTAAATAAATAAAAAAGCACAACAGGAAATCAACGAAAAAACCATCTGCACAAATAAAACTCACTTATAAGTGCAAAACAAAGAACGAATGTCGCTTAAACAGTAATTGCTTACAGAAAAATGTAATATACCAAGCCACTGTAAAAGCAGCAGATAGTGAAAAAAAATATACATGTTAGTAACTGAAGGACCCAGGAAACAATGAAACTACGCACACAAAGCATTCTTTACGAATAGTAAATATTCTAACAGCACAATATCTGGGAGATTAAAAACAAAACCTAAATTACAATTAAAATATCATGTAAAATAAAGAAATCCGCATCAACCTATAACGATAAATCCAAACTATAAACTCTGGAGGCAAAATACTAATAATTACTTTCCAAGACCAACACAAACTACTAAATAGACGATTAGAATTGATCTCAAAATGCAAACACGAAAGCAAATTTTTTACGAAGTTAAAAAAAAAACGAACAAGAATAAACAAAATTGATTTAAAAAAATAAAATTCAATTAACAAAAATAAGAAAAATAAATTAATTCAAACCAATAAATAAACAAATTAAGTAAATAATTAAAGAAATAATAAACCACAAACGCACATATAAACACATGTAAACGTATTAATAACAACTAACAAAAAATAATCAATAATAAATAAGAAAGTTAACAAACAACACTATAAATATCCCCCAATCTGCATCCGGATCCACAATTATTTCTACTCAATCGACCTTAGAATAATTCGAATTATAACCTTTACTGCAAACCTAAATAACCGTTAGAACAATACAATAGACTATCTAATATGCATCATTGACCTGCATATATAAATAGTCTAGCAAAAACACATGGCATAAAAATTACGTTCAAGCATGAAACAAATTTCCGCCTTTGGGTGTTGACTTCAATGTTCACTTTTATATTCACATACGCTCTGTCTTGGATATTGAACACTTTGGCCCATAAATATATCCTACCTATATATATATATATATATATATATATATATATGTGTGTGTGTGTGTGTGTGTGTGTGTGTGTGTGTGTGTGTGTGTGTGTGTGTGTGTGTGCTTCATTGAATGTGAAAAAAAAGGAAAATGTAAATGTCTTCTAACTCTGTTCAAACTGACATCTATTTTTCTATGTATTTCTGTTTCTATCTATCTATCTATCTATCTATCTATCTATCTATCTATCTATCTATCTATTTCAGTTCCTATCTATCTAAGTTTGCGAAATAACCACAACATATTAGCACTGCATAAATTCTTGGATCCCGTATCGACTCAAATTTGCCAAACCCTTTCTTTTGGAAAACGATGAATAGCAATTATTTCTTTCGAACGCCAACCGAAAATCTCCGTAATTCGATTCTATTCTAACAGAATCGCGC